CTGGGAGTAAAAGGAGACCAGATGGGAGTATCCTCCATCTTCTGAGCCTCAGTTAGCGGGTGATTAAAATAAATTGAGGTGAACCAAAATCGATGCTGCGTGAGCATGAGCGTCTCTCATTCCAAAAGGCTATTTTAACAAAGGAATCAATGAGATGACTAATCGCATCAGTCCTCCCGCTCAGGGTGATTAATGGCAGCATCAGTCAGCCAGAGTGGCAGCCAGGAGCGGGACCCATAAGAACACAGTCAGGTCCCTCTGAGGCCACACTCAGCTAGAGAGGTCGATCATCACCTGAAGGTGAACTTACTCAAAACGGGATGCATCTGTGTGTGTCTGTCTGTCTGTCTGTCTGTCTGTCTGTGCGCATGCACGCTAAGCTAGAGTCTCCACTGTAATCCGACCAGGTTCATCAGTGCAGTTTGCTGCTTGATTCGTTTGCAGTGGAGGGTTTTTCACTGAATCACCTCCTTTCCTCTGTGCTTTAACCCTGTGTTAATGTGAATCATTATAATTTACCAATGAAAGCAAGACCTCTTAGAAAAATACACTCCAGGGTAGGAATACACCGATTTATCGACCAGCCAATTTCCCATATTTTGGGAAAGCGGTGATCGGCTGATTTTTGCATCTTAACCACCTATTTTATCTTCCTCAGCAAAGGTATTTAAATCAACTGTTTTCTTTTTCTGCTCTGCTGTGAGAGAGATTTTACTAACAGACTGGCCCACCAGGCCAACATACAGTTGACTATTGTTAACTGTATGTTTGCAGTTAACAATAGTCATCTCACTGTTGGCAACTCATCAACTTTCTTGCTACATTTAGCAACATTTTAGACAAAAAAATTGGTATCGCCCAAAATTGGAATCGGCAGGTCAGGATTTTTAATAGGTCGGCCAGAAAACTGCAATCACTGCACCCCTACTCCAGGGGAATTTTGGCTCCTACTGGGTTCCAGTTGCTACATTTGCAGCACAAACCAGACGTCTCTGTTTCTGTGTGGATCTCAGCAGGTAACTGGCCCACAAACACAAACACCTTTTAAACTGTTAGGCAGGCAGACTCACCTGTAAAACCTTACATAGTTTGTCATGTCATGGTGGGTTTTGTATTTGCTATGTCATTGAACCAGAATATAGGTAAAACATCCGCTCCATGTGCTCTGCCTCTAGTGACATCACTATGGGGTGGGGTCTTTATCTGCATGTTTTTAATCCAATAACCAAGTATAAAAAGTGTTTCTAACCTGCTGGTTGCAGCTTTGCTCCACCTGGACAGACTGTCAGTCTGCCTGTCTGTCAGTTTGGCCGCGGCGCGCTGCGCCGTGCTACGACTCCAGATGCTGCTTCAGACGTGATGTAGGACTTTGAAAGCTGGATAGTTTGATAGGCTGGAAGACTTTTATTTTACCCCCAGTGCAGAACTAACAGATTACATGCAGCTGTCATAAGTTGACTTCATCCTACAAGAGTTTATCAATTATAAAAACAATTAATTCATTCATATTAGTTGACATAAGCCAAAAAAACAAAATTGTTATTTTTCATCCATTAATGCTTGTGTCTATTTATTCTAGGCATTTGGAATCTGTACTTCTGGATTCACCTAGAAAGCCTGTTCTGGGATTGATTGGTATTGGCCCTATCCTCCACTAGGGGGCTTCACCAATTAGCATCATTATGTCGTCCCAACAATTTTACTGCAAAACTGCTGTAAGATACTTGAGAAAGAGAGAGAGAAAAGCTTTGTTCCTCTTAAAGCGTCTAAAGCTGATGATAGTCACCAGAGCTGCAGCTTCACCGTCCATCATGGATCAGGCCTGTCTGCCATGTTGGTTCCTAATACCCGAGAAATCCAGCAGTGGGAATCTATACTTCATTGCCCAGTTGGTTTTTTATTGTCAGTGTACATTTTGTAGGTGGAGAAAAATACACCATTGGACTCTAAGAGGTAAAAATGTGAGCTTTGGATCCTTTGGTACTGCCTTTCTCGGTTTATTGGGTTTTGATGGCTTTGCTGCAATTGCTAAGGATATAACCCTTTCTTCAAGTATAAATAAGAGATGCCCCAGAGTGTAAACATTGACCTCAGTGAAACAGGTTCGTTTTGCTCATTAATCTGACATTTTAGCTAAAGGTTGCATAGAAAAACTTCTGCCAATCCAACTTTTTTCTTCTTTTTCTTCTGCTCGGTGCCGATGTGTGTTTTCCTGACACTGGTTGACCTCTTGTGTCTTATTGATCCTTGTATCAGGCCGAGCAAATGGGTGAAGAGGAGAAAAAAACCACCCACACACACACTGCTTGAGAAAGTAAATTGTGAGCCTCTTTTCTCGCTCCAGTGGAATTTAGTTTAGCAAATAATTTAGTTTATTCCTATTTTTGCCCCTCATTTCCATGGTCGGTGCCATCATCATTAGCAGTCTTCTGCACAATAGCTAATTAGCTTTCTCATCTCAGTCTTCCTCCTCCAGTCTGACTCAACTCTGCTAATCCCGACCAATTACAAATAAAAGCTGCCTTACCAGCTGCAAAGGTATCTGCGTGTTTATGTGAGTGTTTAGGAAATGCTGTGGCGTTTTAAACACCTCCTTCCCCCTTCAGGTGACATGTGAAGGATCTTTAATGTCAGGCCACTTGTCAGAAGATGGCTCGGTGCCCGTCTTAATGAGTCCAGACAGCCAGGCAGAGGCACGTTGCAAAGACATGAATTTGCAAAAAAGGCCTGCCAGAGCACAATAGCTAAATTATTTCTCAAGGTCCCAGATGTGTGTTAAACTCTCCATGTCTGTGGAGCTCTTTGTCATCCGGTGGCATGCTGTGTAATCGCTCTCGCATGAGTATTTCTGGATTTTTGTTTTTTTGTCTTTTTTTTTTTTATCTCTGTAGAGAGAAAGTCTTAATCCCAGGGGCTACACGCACACACACATCCATTTCTGACAGGTTTTCCTCGAAGATGTGCCGATGAGTCCTGAATTTCGATTCTGCCACCAACAGAAGGAGAGCAGGTCATGGGTTTGACTCTTTGTGTCTCTTTGCTTTGCAGTGGCTGAGCGGAGAGGCGTTTACATGCCTCTTTTCAGTGGCGACTCGTACCTGGAGCTCAAGGGGCTTCATCTCTACGGGCATGATCTACGGTAAGTCTCAGTCTCAGTGTGAAATCTGCACGGGGTTAGATGAATATTACGGATAACACCGAACATGGTGTAGTTTTCATAGTTCCAACAGCTCTGTGCCTGGGGCAGAGAGGGAGCTCATGCTTCTTTAAGGCTGAGCTGAATTCATAATGAAGATTACACAACTAACCTTCCTTAGGCTGCAGCATCTTGGTAGCTCTACAGGGTGTGTTGACATGGATGTGTCTGTTCCTTATCTGTAGTCAAAAGTTCAGCATGATGCTGGTTCTCATGGCCAATGACTCCAACGGTCTGATCTTCTACAACGGACAGAAGTCTGATGGAAAGGGAGACTTCGTCTCTCTGTCCCTGAGCAATGGCTACTTAGAGTTTCGCTACGATCTGGGAAAGGGACCGGCTATTATCAGGTCTTGTCACTTCAACAGAAAAACATCAGCAGCACGTCAATGTTTAGATTATAAGCAGGCTGCTTTCTGACGTCCAGTGTGTGTCTTTGTGTCATTCAGGAGTAGGGACCAGATGCAGCTGAAGGTGTGGAACACCATCAAGCTGGAGCGTTCCCTCCGTAAAGGCGAGATCCGGTTGAACGAAAAAGCAACTTCAGGAGAGTCACCAGTAAGAAACAGCAAGCTAACTGAACTGCCGATCAGCATGCAGGACCATTGGGCATGTGGTTAGCCATGCTTCTGCCATGCAAACTCATCTGTGTGCTTCCACCCATCAACGCCACATCCTTGGCTTTTTGCTGCTTCTGTTTTTAATTTGCAGAGCTACTCTTAGGCACAATGCCATTTCCTAGCAGTTATTATATCAATATGTACAATATTCCACTTACAAAGGACTGCTTGGATGCAGAATTTAAAAGGTGTTGGATGTTTCATGCTCTGCATTCACTCTCAGCAAGGCAGTTAGATATTTGATTTCCCTTAATGCATAGTGACATCAGGGCAACATTAATATGCCCAGATATGTCACATAAACCATGATTATAGTAATCAGTTATTTTAAACATTATTCTGATGATTAATCAGGTAAAAACAATCTGATTCTTAATTTAACCCCTTAAGCTGATTTTATACACTACTAGAAAAACAATAAAGGACACAAATAATCCAATTCCTTTTTTAAATAATAAACATTTTTTGCCTATATTGCATTGACGGTTTTCCATTAGTGTATAATTGATCGTTTGTTGCAAACAGTGCATTTCTGATTAAAAAAATCTTTCTAACATGAACATGTGAACAGCTCACCACTTTCTGCTAGATTAATTATCAACATAGATTATGGCTGATCCAGTGACTATTCTCTAGATTAACTGATTAATAATTGGATCACAAAAGCTGCTTAATAGGAAATATTTCAATACAACTTGAACCAGGTTAAACTAAAACTAAGCCCCTGAGGGATTCTGGGTAAAACATGGTGGTTTTTCATCTTTAATGTGAAATGTATCTATTTTGTTATAGTTTTGGTTTAATTACCTCTCTGAGTGTTTTATCTGAGTCTCTATGCTAAAGTTAACGATTAATTGATCGCTAAATTAGGTGGCGATCATTTCAATAATCGATTCATCATGATTAATCATTTCATTCACATGAACAGTACTGTTGTTAGCGCAACACGTTGAGCACTAACATCTGAATAAGTTTGAGTTTATGATCAGCTGAAAGTATCGCTGTTTGTCTGAGGGAAGGAAAGGCCTCAGTGGTCAGCTGACTCAGATCTGACAGCTTTACCTCTCTGGCTGCTTAGCTCGCTTGTCTCCAACAGATAAAATGTTGTGATACAGAAAAGTCCAGAGCAGCCTTTACTGCTGGTTTACAGTCAATTTGATCAAAATGTGCCGTTGCAGTGGCGTCTGGGAGAGAGGAGGCAGATAAGGGAGAGATATCAGCAGCAACAGGGGTATAATGAAATTTCTGAGTTCATCGCCTAGACCAATAAACAGGTAGCAGCCTCTAAATGAAGGTGATCTAATCGCTGAATAAGTCTCTAAGTCTTCCAATTACATTAAAGAGTGTAGATTGTGATTATGAGCACACTCTCTGTCAGCTCTGTAGTCTTCTACACTTTAAAAGATTCTCAGTTTTTTGTTTTTTTGTCTCTCTATCTCTCCTCCAAAAATCAGCGTGGTAATCGTGTTTTACTCCAGCAACATGGGCAGAAAATCTTATTAAAAGAAGAGAGTAAGGAGAGGCAAAGATATGCGCTTGCAGGGGAACCAGGAGACACCCGGGATGAGCTGAGACCCTATGGATGGGTTCTCTGCTACATGGGCTGAGAGCTGCAGAGAAAACACACATGATGCATGCACATTTCTACTTTGCTGGGAGTAATCATCATATCAAAGAGCACCCAGGCTGCTGCAGTAATGAAACCCAAACTTTTAAAAGGCATGGAGAGGAGAAATCTAAATCTACTCCTCTTATTTAATGGCGGCAGTCAGTGAATGAGGCGGGCTTAAGAGGCACTATTTGCAGTCATTCATCAGTGAAGTTTTTTTAATTTATTCTTTTCATCTTTTCCTTATGCATGGCCACTTTAGACAGCTTCTTATTTACACTGCTGCTTTTTTGGATATCTGTTAAAACAGTGGTGTTCAAAGTAGCCACAAAATTCATCAAATTAAAAATGCAAAAATTAGTTTATTGTGATTTTATCAAAATCATTTGAATGGCCACAAATGGCCTCTGAGCCACACATTGGACACCCCTGTTGCAGTATGCGTTCTTCATGTTTTGTTGTCTTTATGTCAGTTTTCTGTGCTTTATTTTGGACGCTCTGGTAGATGCTTGTGAGGTGATAGTGAATGTTTCTCTACTCTGCATGCCTCTGTGAGCACAAACACGTAGTCTCCCCTTTCAATAACGGTCTTCTTCCATATTTTCTTCCTTCTCTATGATGTGCTCTCTGGATATCAGAAATCACGCAAGGTAATGAGACAAGTCCCAGTTACACCCTATCCCCATTTCATTTCAGCCGCTCACCAGTTCTCTCACTCCTCCCATCCCTCCAAAAAAAAAAAACAATAAAAGAAAAGTCTGCAGCTTTGAAACTACCACTTCTGAGTAAAAACTTTACCGTTTCAGAAGCCGTACATGCCACAAAGCGGTGGAGAGAAGATGCTCTTGAAGAGCACAGTTTGGCTTTCACCTCGGTCCATCTGCTACGGGGGCGGGAAGGCGGGTGGCAGAGAGAGAGAAAGAGAGAGGCAGTCATCCTCACGATGGCCATTGTTTGAAAGCAACAAAGAGACTTCTTCATTAGCACAGCGTGGGCAGGGGGGGTTCACAGCGCTCTGCATGGCTGTGGAAACAGCGAGAACAAGGAGGATGTATACGGACGGCAAGGTGCTAAACCAAACCCGCCTGCTCAGTTGTCATCTGTTCTTGCTTCTGTTGGACGCAGGAACAATCCGCCATAGTGACAGGAAGTCACTCCAACTTTGAAGAAACCAACACACACCCGAACAACACACAGTTAAACAACACATATCCAAACTTACGCTGCATCACTCAGAAAGCCATGCCAAACACATCCCACTGTTCTCGTTCAGCGGGTGTAAATTATCCCCTGTTTTTAGAAAACACTGAACACAAGCAGTCCTTTTCCCCGAAGAATGACTGTAAATCACACAACCTTTAGAGTTTTAGAAAGGTTTATGAAAATCACAGCAGCAGGTAGAGTAATCGCAAGGTATTAATGATCCTTGACCTTTTTCAGTTTTGTTATGTAACAATCACAAACTACAATGTAGTTTAAAAGGATTTGATGGACTAATACAAAGCACTGCTTAAGTGTGAAACTTAAGGGAAATGAAACCTAGTTTTACTGGAAAGGCTCACATTTATATTCAGACTCTAATGGATTTCCTCAAGTTAAAATAAAAAATATGTTAATCACAGGTATTAAATTTTGTTGCATATACTCATATGTAAACTGTGTTTTCTCAAGAGACTTTTCTGAATGGCATAAGTCTGAGTCATGCCCAGACATCTTCAGTGACTTGAGGCAGGTCAGGCTACTGGTTACTAGCTGCTGAAAACCCCCTGCTAGCCTGACCGCAAAACAGCTAGCTGTTTTGCATCTGTCAGGGGTAAGTGTAAAATTATCTGCATTCGTTTTTGCCGCTGCCTCACTTCTGTTGGCGGTGCCCTATGTACAAAAAAACCTTCTGAGCTCTGCCCCATGTGTGTTAAGGCTGTTTGCAGTGTGAGAAGCACAAAACCTTAATTCATGTACTGTAAATAAAGACCTTAAAATGTCTTGAATGCCAAGAGCCACAAACAAGACTCAGAGATGTTATACTTTCTATTCTTAACTGTAAAACAGCAGAATCCCAGAACCAGCCCCTATATCTATAGTTTTATTTGATTCTTTACATTAAAAAGGTCTTCGGAAGTCTTAAATGTGACTTTCTGAGATCTGCAGATCACCTGGTTGAAGCAGAATTGGATTATAAAACATCCCAGGCTTGGATCACCTTCGCATGTTCAATCTATCATCTGGAAACAGAACTGCAAACCATGTCCATGGTGGTTCTGGAGGAGCTGCAGAGAGCCACCACTCAGGTGGAAGAATCAGTTGACATGATAACAGTCACTTGTGTACCTCAGACAGTTTACCATAGTTGATGAGAAGATGGAGCTGAATGCAAGGTAACTCTGGAAGAACAGCTGCTAGTGGCTGAAAAGACTAAAAAACTTTGGGCGGAGGTTCAACTTCCAGTAGGACTCTAAAGACGAAACCAGCTCAAAACACAATGGGTTTAGATTTCAGCCTGTAGGTGTGGAAAGCTGCTAGACTAGAGATTAGCAAATGCAACGGAAGAGGGCTGAAATCAAATGGATCAAAAACTTGTGAAAGATTTTGAAAACAGCCCTGTGTTGCTCCATGACAGTAGATTCCAGTAAAAACACTGATACATGTGGATGGAGTGGTGGAGAGTCGGCTCTCACCTCAGAGAGAGACACTCTGCCTGAGGTGACCAAGTCTGGCATGTGGTGGGAACTTTTGGCAAAGTCTGAACAAATGGATGAGAATCTGTCTGCTGCAGCCAGGGTTCAGGGTTCCTGGTCTGCTCTGCTGCAGCCAGCTCCAGGTGTTTGGACGCAGCCAGGCCTCGCTGTCTCCTGCACTCTGAATCACTGCCTAAATAAAAGCCCAGGCCACACCAGCTTCCCTGTTTATTTGTCCTTTTTCATCATCGTCTGTTCCCCCACCTCCAAGTCATTAACTCCATCTTACCCTTTCTGGCAGTTACCACCATACAAAATAAATAAAGACTGTTAATGACCCATCTTTGAAGTGAGCCTGCTCTTCAGCATCACCTTCTGTCTAATCTGAATCGCTGGCCCCAAATCTCTGACTGAGAGAATCAGATTTCATGGCCGTGACGCGCAGATGAATGGCAATTAATTTGACTCCACAGTCATCTGTTGGAAAGGTCGGCGCTCCTAATCAGCTATTCATTAGAGAGGTCTGCAAGACCTATCTGTGTCACAAGAGCAGCCTGCTCTTAATTTTCTTTTGTTGTCCATTTTCTGGCTCATAGAAGATAATTGATCACTCAAAAGTCACTTATTTGGTGTCAAGTGTTTCAGCATTAATGGAAGGCATGAAAGTGGCCCTCCTTGGCCACGGAGGCCTTATGAAAATATACATACCCTCCTACTCTAATTCTCTTATATGACAGCCGTCAACCTTTGTGCATTTTATTGAGATTTTATGTGATAGACCCACACAAAATAGTTCATAATTATGATACCAGGGCTTCTCCCAGTGTATTATAGGCCTGGCAGCCCGCCATCCTTTACTAGCGCCACCGCCAGGCTAAGCCTTTCTTGTTTATGTTTTTAGGAAAATAATAATAATAAAAAACTTTTTTTTTCTTTCTTTTTTAAGCCGGATTGCAAGCGTCTCTGTTGCTCTGAGCGCTTCACTAGCGGAGCAGATTTATTCCTAAAAGATATGTTTATGGAAGATAGGTTTATAGTTTATGCATTTAAAGCCGGACCAATCACACCGCTGGCTCCTCTGCTCGTTGCCTCGCGCGCTGCAGTAGCTGGATTAAGTTTACCTCAGCGCGGATCCCGCGCGCCTCCTTTCACTCAAACTGGACACAGGCTGACCTGTATGGATATTTACAACAACCCACTGTGAGGAATTATGATTCTTTCCAGAGTTTTAATTAATTGCAGTTTACTAAATTGTATTTGTGAACAAACAGAGCTCAAACTTAAAGATTAAACTCACAGCATCAGATTGTTGCTATGGTAACTAAACAATCTAACTATGAATATTGTTCTTGAACTTTTACAAAGTAAACTTGCCAGCTCCTTAAACTCTTACATTTAAATGTTAAACAATTTAAAATTTTTAATCTATATATGCTGAAATTGAATCAAATTTAGCAGCATTGATCATCTCAATAAACAAGTGTTACATTCATGTATCTGTGGTCTGTGTTAAAATATTAGCATTTATGGGGCCCCTGAAGCCCTGGGGGGCCTGATGGAACTGCTGACTTAATTTGGATTAAACAAAAGTGCAAATAATTGATATTCATTTTAATTTTATATTGTGATTAGTTGTTTTTAAGACTGGTTGTGGGTTTAAGTAGTGTTTCACTGGCAATGTTTTCCTGTAACGTATAATTACTGAGTGATATTTTAAAATTTCCTGTCACCTTAACATCTTTTAATACAAAAACACGGTGGACCACCAGTGGACCACCTCGGCACCCTGACCACCGGGCTTAACAAGTTTTCTGGGGGAAACCCTGGATACAGTTACACTCAGTAGTGAAATGTGACCCATGTCTGGCTTCTCCTGATCTTATCAACTCACCTACTTCTTTGTTTTATTAAATCAGATATCTATCCAACTATTTTTAAAGTCTGAACAATCATGTCAAAATTTATCCGGCTTTGCATCATTGATGAGAGACATGCATCATTCTGAAGCCAGACATGTTAAATTCAGACATAAACAATGGCTGAACATTATGATTATGAACTTATGAAGGATGTCTTTGTGACTGCAGTGTATCATCCAAACTGATGCTCCACAAAAGGCCTTCACTGTTAGCTCTCCTTCAGCAGCGTCAGTTAAAATGGCTCCATAGACGGCGGCGGCCATACGCAGAGCGCTGCTGTGTGACATCAGCACTCCTCTGGACATGCGGGTCGCTTTGAGACACTAAGGCAATACATCAGATATGACTGCGGTCACAAAACCTCCAAAAAATAATTGGAATTGAACATCAAGACCTGCTGTGTGAGCATAACCTAAGAGAAATAGAGAAACAGACAGAGCATAGTGACTCTGGAGCAGCTGCAGAGACATGCAGCTCAGGTAGGAGAGCCAGCTATCAGTCATGAAGATGCTCTGAACTTTTTCATTTTATATGCAGAACATTTTGAGTTGTGTCATTGCTAAACATGGTGGTGGTGTGCAGAGGCGCAACAAGTGGGTATGCAGCGCATGCAACGCATAGGGGTGCAGCACCAGAGGGGGCGCCAAAACCCTGTCTGGAGGGGGCGACGCACCGATTTTGTTTTCCCATACATAGCGCGCCTCACGCTCCTTCACCTCTCGCACATAACGAGGTAAATGTAGCGATTTTTACACTTCACGTATCGTCGCCTCGGTGTGTGTGTGAGCGTCGCTCCTTCACTCCGACGTTCCTTCCCTGGGGGACGGGGAGGATTTATGTTTTCGCATCCACCTGAATAATGTGTAGTTGCGCCACTGGTGGTGTGGGAACTCTTCAGCAGTTTTGCAAACAGTTGATTATTTTCCCGTTTTTACCAAATCATGTATCATTTTACCTTCACTACACAACTACATGCAACCCTGTGTTACTGATGAAATCCCAGTAAATTACATTGAAGTGTTTATAATATGACAACGTTTCTAAAAGAAATCCAGGTTGTGTGAAAACTTGTCACAGGCCCTGGGTTTCCACCACATATCGCAGCACTTAAAAGTCTTTTTCTGGAAATAGCAAACTCCTGACTTGGTATGGAAGTGATTCAAATGGAAATGAATCTTCTCTGTCAGCTCTGTCTCACCTTCTGAAACATTTGTTGTGTCCCGTCTGTTTTCAACAGAACAAGCACACAGATCTCAACCTGAAAGAGTCGCTGTTCATCGGCGGCGCTCCTGATTACAGCAAACTAGCAAGAGTTGCTGCACTCACAGAGGGATTCAAGGGAACTATCCAGAAGGTAAACTAAGAAAGGTTTTACAATCTGCTGCTCAATGACTCGTGAACTGCAGTGACTCCTGAGGCTGGCAGTGAACCACGGTGGAGTCAGACTAGAAGGTTTCAGCAGTCTCAGACCACAGCAGTCTGATTTTAGCCGTTTTGCCATCATCAGCTCTCACTGTGACAAGAAGTGGCTCTGCTCATTAGGATTAGCTAGTGCTAAATTTAGAATATTCTGAAGTCCTTCCATTTTGTTGCTCTCAGATCTTTCCCTGACAAATTTCCAGTTTTTTTTTTCCTTCTCTCAGCTTTCTAGCAAACAGCTCATCTCTGAGCTCCCAGAATAACTCTGTTCAAAAACAAAGGGCTAGATGGAATTGTTTGCAGGAACTTGTCAGGAGTTCTTGTCGGCAAACTTCCCCTCTCTGACGGTTTTGAGACAATTGGAAACAAAATGCAATATTTGTGTTGTTTTGCCTTGGGGGAATTGTTAATTACGTGGAAGATGGCATTTATTTGAGTTTTGATGTGGTGTTTAATTGGTTGCTTTGAAAGCATTGTCTGAAACACATGGTATCTGCAGCTTCACTGTAACCCCTGCCTTAGATCCTAGGATGTGTTCAGTCATTAAGTTTAATGATCCTTCAACAGAGAAACTCAATGGCCTTTAAATGAATGCTCTCAATTCAAAAGAAACACAAAATCATTTTGTAAAGTGTTGTAATAGAAGGAAAATAGATTGTAATCATTTTTACTGTGAGTTAAGTTCAGATAAGCTGCAATAAAAGACAAGAAACTGAACCAGCTGAAATGCAAAGGATGATAAGAATTTAATACATATTTGTATTTAAATTTTAACAGATCTCATTCTAAGTTCAGATATACTTTTCTTCTAAGAAGCAATGTATGTTCCAAACCTTGCATTGTGTGCCGCATTAGTTCTCCATATATGTAGCTGCCTGCAGGTCTTGCTCAATGCGCCTCTGTCAGCTGTAAACATGTTTTCTGTATCTGCTGCTTAGCCTCCTGCTAACCCTGCGCCCCCTGCAGAGAGGCTGCCTATATTTGTCCTAGAAATCGCCCACTGCATCAAAACATTTAAAAAGTTTCCAAGCCTAGCTCGTCCACTGAAAAGCCTACCTTGTTCTCCAAAACTAAATGAAACTCTTGTTCTCTGCTGCTGCAAATTGGGCTACTCTGCAGTGGAACATGTTTTGAAAAGTTGTGATAGATTATCACAGAATGATCAGACTTGGTTTTAACTTTTAAATTTACTCTGACGGGAAGTAAATGTTCTCCTCGTTCAGGTTTGAACCGAGTTTGTTTGCTGAGGTCGTCTAACATGTTCTGTGCTCCAATCAGATTTTAGGTCCATCTACCACCATATTTATTGTTGCATATTTTAAGGCTCAGTTTCATGCATTACATTAAAAAGTTTCTGCCAGTCATAAGGACTTGAGTCTGACACTGCATAGGACAGAGACTGTAGACCTGATGTCTACCTAAGGTTGGGACACGAGTCTTGACTTGGACAAGACATTTGGGACTAGACTCAGACTTTAGGTCTGGGATTCGTTTGTGTTAAATGGTTCATAATGTCATGCAGATACAATCTTAAAGCCTGTGGTATAAACTTCTTTACCTCTCACTTTTGTTTCTCACTTTGCCTCTTGGATTTTAAGAACAATCATAACATATTTCCATGACCTTTTCAGCGGTTGTGAATTTCAGAGGTGAGATGTTAAAACATGGGAGCAGAAATGTGAGGTTTGCTTCATTAAATGTCTGACAGTGGGACAGACCTGAGCCGTTTCAGTCCCACCTCCAGCTGTGCCTCTGCCTCCAGATCATGCTGATGAGCACACCCATCCTGCGGGAGGAGAACGCCCTGAACTCCAGCAACGTGGCCATGTTTCACCGCCACCCGTGTTTCCAGGAGCCCTGCCAGAACGGCGGCCGCTGCCACCCTGAGCTGGACGGCTACGACTGCTCCTGTCCCAGCGGCTTCTCAGGGGACATGTGTCAGAACGGTGAGTGGCTGCTTCCTGTGCTGCATTTCTGTCTCACCTGATCTTAGCCTGCTGACCAGCTGAGATCAGAATCCAGACGACTGGATGGAGATTATGCTGCACACATGGCATACATGCTATACATTTACTGCCTTATGAGAAAGTATAACAACCCTTCATGTTAAATGATAGAACAGCTGTTATTAACCACATTTCTATGGTTTAGTTTTATTCACCTAGACCAGATTACTGCCACACCTGCAGAATCAATAATTTTTCTCAGTTGTACCAGACTGATAGCATGAAGTAGGCAGCAAAAGTCTAAAAGCAAAACATTTTTCTAAGATGCTTGTTTGCAGCCTCTGCTGCCAATGTCTGATGAAGTTACATTCTGCTTTGCTTTGTCAGTTCTCTCCAAACTGAAGATTTTTTTTCTTCTTTTTTGGGACATTTCAAAAGTTTGATTAAAATTCACGACAGTTTAATATAACTATATCTGAGAATAGTCTAAACCTCTAAATCACATTTTTCCATTCAGTTGCTATGCAAATTATAAGCAAACTTTTGAAATGTTGCAATAAGTAAAATATGAATTAGGCATGTGTCCACCTATTGGTTTGGAGCGAAACATAGTTTCATCAATTGTTGGTGCTGTTTACGGTTGTAAGAAAAAAGATGTAGAGTTTGCGAACTAGAATGGACCACAGACCTCAGAAAAATGGAGCGTTCTGCCCTCTGAGCTGCAGGTTTTCACGTAGTTCAGTTTCTTCCCTCTGATGAATTACAGACACAGCATCCCAGCCTAAAGAAATTCAAGAAGAAATGAGAAGCAAAACCACTGACCTTTGACTCCACAGTGAGCTTCACGATCAGAGAAAAAGATGGCAAACCTTCCCAGGGCTGGACGGGATTCTGAGATTACTGCAGAATCAAAGAGAAATCCAGAACCAGAACATCCAGAACACCATCTAAAGCCTAAACAATGAAAAGATTTAAACCACAGCTCCACAAAAGCATCACAGATTAACCGAGGTTAATCTGTCAGAGGTCTGATGATGATACTGAAGGAGAACAACCTGATTTCTGTTTGGACCTTCAGCTCACAGAGCCAGCATCACTCCAGAAAGTTTACCTCTGACTGGATGAAAGATAAACTACTTAAAGATTTTCTGGACTCAGATCCAGCTGTAGTGGAGTAACCACTACAGGGTTCACACTCCTAAACGTCCAAAGAGACTGAAATCAACCATATTTCACATAATGGTCTGAACTCCTTCAAACAGATAGAAAACGTTGTTACTGCTGCAGTGAAGCACCAGGGTTAATCCAGTCAGTTATAAGGGGGGCAATAAGTTTATCGAAAATATAAACTCATCATGTGGAACTGACTTTTGGACATTCACCCAGATTGTCTTTGTCCTGAAGTTAAAAGCAGTTTGTGTTTATCAAGTAGGAACAAACTGATGGACATTTCCAAAGCCCTGAAGGATCATTTTAAATGAGCAGGGCTTGGATTAGGCCAGTTGGATCCTGGTTCATCTCCATCAGTCAGACCTCTGTTCTTCCTATCAGATAATATCAGTATTATACATGATGTCTCTTTTATGTGGGCGCCGCACTACGTTGCTATCAAAGTAATAGATCAGCTGTGAAAATGATTAAAAGTGTCAGCTGAATATTCATGAAAGGAAGCGGGATTGCCCGTCCCTTTCATCATCTCTGTGTTCCTCCGCGTTAACCTTGTGCATTCACTCGCCATCCCCTCTCACGGTGATTAAATCCAGCCAACCCCTTTGCTCTTCATCAATTCGGTGTGGTCTCATCCTCTTGAGTGTTTTCTCTCTCTGTTGCCAGCTATCCACGAGAAGTCGGCCGGAGAGACGGAGGCCATCGCCTTTGACGGACGGACCTTCATCGAGTACCACAATGCCGTGACTAGAAGGTGAGGAGGAAGAGCGTCTTTTTAAGCTTCATGTCCACAGTAGCAGCTATTAACCAAACAACTGTCTTGTTTATCCGTCTCCTCCCCTGGTGAGTGTGATGGGATCATCAGCGGTAGGGCTTCAGGGAAACTAAGAGCCTCTCTAATATCTCTCTCTGTGTCTGTGGGCGACCCTGCCTCGCTTTTGACAGGATTTCTCTGATTAGCCAGGCACTTAGCAATCACAGCCTCGCCCCGAGCTGCCGGCTCGCCGCTCCGCCCTGCAGTCGCTGCCGCCTGACAACAGGAACGCACAACTTATTATCCTGATTGGATCAATTTCTGTTATCCAACAAGAGGCTGAAGATCTGTCAGCTGAAGGAAAGAGAAAGATTTGTGAGACAAAAACAAAATAACAACCTGAAGACACAGATGATAATGTAGTTTCTGTGTTTTGGTTGCCTCCAGGTTTGCATAAAGTGTAGAAGTGATGAGGCAGCAGGCGTACGGTTGCTGCTCTTCACACAAACACTGCGCTGTGTGAAAACTAGGGGTCTGTCAGTCACGTCTGCGTCTTAATGTGCATTTGTTCCTGTCCCTCTATCTGACGTCCACTTCCTGTCTGTGTCTTATATGAATGTCCCTCACTGTCTTCTCCTTTCAAGCCAACTGACCAATGAGATCCCAGAGTAAGTAAACTCAGTCTGGCGTTCAGATCAAGCCCAACTAACAGAATAACTCATTTTATTTTAATCAGTTAACCCAAACAAAAAGATGAAAGTACATTCAGAGAGTCATCCAGTCTGTTCTTCACATGCAGACTCCATTTCCATCATTTAATTTGACACATTTGATTATTTTGAGATACATTTGCAGTTTTTTTTTCCAGTGCAAAGGGAAGCATGAATGTCTGCATGATTAGCTTTGTGTTGAACCAGAGAAAATGAATTGCCGTGCCATGATTGTGCAATAATTTATGCATTGTTATTTATAAATGCAATGAATTGCAGTTACTTTATGCTGAGTAGCATTAGGTGGGAATGAATGAGGGACGCTTGAAAGCTGGAGGAGACCGGAGTTGTTCATACCGGCTGAACTCTTCTGAATTTCATCGCGTTAAAACTTAAAACTTATAGACGGATTCTGTTAAACAGTCCAGTCCAAAAGGTTTCACTGACCCATTACACATGCAGAGTCTGAAAGATTACAGATACAAAACACAACCTCTAGTTTACTCAGAATGAATGGAGAGTTTCTGTGGTCATAAAACATTCAAGCCTTTCTACAGTCCAGGCTTTGACTGGACCATTCTAACTTATGAACATTCTTTGATTTAAACATTTAAAGAATGTTGTGTGCTTTATGGCCACATAAAGCCATTTTATAGTACAACAAAGTAACTGTTATCTTCAGTTGTTACAAAAAATGCTGTATATCAAATATGACTTAAACAAAACTTGACTTAATGCCTTGAAATCAGGGCTCTGTCTCTTTAAGAAGCTCCAGCTCTTTGCATCAGTCTGCCTTTGGTCTGTCATCATAGCAATGCTTCTCATTATGTCGTTTACAGCCGTTTCTACCAGCGTTTCACTGAGGAGCAGCTCCTATAATGAGCTGAGCAGACACTTAGTTCCACCAGCTGTTTGCTAATTGCTACTGCCACTAGTCTGGAGGAGCTGGGTGGAGGGTCTGCTCCGTGAGGCAGACGTTTGACTGGAGGAATCAGTAAATGAACTTATCACCAAGTGAAACACATTTTTCAGAATAATTACACACAGAATGATGTTTGGCCTTTATTTGTTTTAATTTTAATGATTTTCCACTTACAGTTAATGAAAACATGACATTTAAAATTAGAATATTATGTCAGACTAGGACGGGGGGGCTATATCGACTAAGAATTTTATCACTATAATTTGCAGTTCTGTTACAATAACAATAAAAATGTTGATTAGAAAAACTCTTTTTTACCTCTTTTTTAGCTAACTTCATGACTTTACAACCACAAACATTGTCCTTGAAAAACATTCCTCCGTTTTTAAACAGGCATGGTCAGGACAACACTTCCCTTAAAAAGTGTGATTTATATTACTTTGTCGCTGTAACAGCATTTAATTGTGTTTCCTTATTTGCTGATATTCACTGATTCAGTGGACAAAACAGGAAAAATGAAATGTATGATAATACCGTCAGTTTTGTTTTTTATTTAACATCATCAATAGAAATTTATTGAGACAACACATCAAAATTCCTATAAAATTATTTGCAATACATGATACATGCTAAATGCACATGCCTACAAAAAAAATTTAAAACAATTTCTATAAACAGAAATGTGGACTTGATGAAAAATGTGTGTAAAAAGTTATTTTAAAGTCATTTTAATCTGACAAACGAGATCCATCAGACGCTTACTCTAATTTATTGAATATTTTTTGCATTCCATGTCACAATTAGTTTTGCACATATAATCCTTAGAAAGCACATTGAAATGACTAATTTACCTCTGAACAACTAAAGAAAGAGAAGCTACATGGTTAGCTTAGCAGTGTAATGAGAGAAATAGACTCTGCTTAACCTGTTTGATGGGTTGGGACTCGGCTCCAATCAGGCCGACTGAAAACTCAGTCCTCACCGCAGTTTGTGCTGCATCACTTTCTTTTTTCCAGATCTCTAACTGTAATTTTGAGTAATTACAGAGCCGCCAGTGAATGGCTGTGACATGTTAATCACAGATTTATCTGCCTGTGTATAGTAGAGCTCCAGTGGAGAGCACTCCACAGTGGGCAGCCTGGACCTCAATCTCACTTAGCTAGAGGGACAGTAGTCCTTGGAGCCAGACTGTCAAAGTTTAATAGATGTTACAGTCGCTAAGAGCAACCACAATGGGCGTGGATCAAGGCAAACCAACCAATTCAGCGGGATTTCATTTTACAAAGACAATGAATACCTTTTGTTTTTTTCCAGCGGCCATTAAGTAGAGAGTAAAAAGGCCAAAGTGTCAAACTATCACCTTTGGGTGCCGTTTCTATTTCTTCGAACGGTCAATTCGCTAGACTCATTTTAAGGTTGACGAATCACATGTGACTCATCTGATACTGTGCTTGACCCCATTCTTTGACAATCGCCCAATTTTTCCTCATGTAGCGCTTTCATCTCTCAGCAGAAGGTAATTGCAACAGCACTGTGGTGTGCGGCGTCATAAAAAAAAAAAAGGAGCTGCTCAATAATTGGACGCTGACTTTAAAGCCAGTCGCTGACGGTAAATGTACTTTATCTTTAAAAAAAGCTTGAAAAGCTAGGATATTTTTCATTGCATCCATCCTGACTGTTGCATTTATTGAGGAGCGTCCATGTTATCAGGGCTGGTGCTTCCTGTGATCCCACAGCAGCTGTACTGGACTCTCCATGCGGTCGATGGAGGAGTGCAGCAGATTAGCTTTTTGCAGCTCCGGGTCTCTATGGGAGACCTCTGTGAGGCGCTGGGCTCACAGTGTTCTCCCTTCCTTCCTCCCTCCTCCTTGTTTCCTTGTCCTTGTTTGCGCTTCCTCTGCATGACTTTCTCCCTGCTTCCTTAAGTCCCAAATCTCTGGAGAACCCGTCAGACCAGAGGTGAGTCTCTTAAAGCTTTTCAACTTTGCCCTATTTACTTGTATGCCACCTTTGTTTCATCCCTCAGCTCCTCTCCAGACAACCCGTCCTTGACCTTTGACAGGCCTGAAGACTCCCGTTCTATTTAAAAAGTCACAAAATTATCATTTTTATATTCTAACATGTCGAACAGCCTCTCCTGACATGCATATCCATATATCTACTGCTTCACGGGCAGGAATGTCTGATTAACTTTGGACTTTAATCAACACATTTGAATCAGGGCACTGGCATGTAACATCAATACATTTTAAAAAATAATAATTGGCTGCACAAGTTTGAATGTAGGACAGACTACAACCAGTCTGTCCTTCAGCAGGAGGCAGAGAAACCCAGATTTAAATCGCCCCAGATTTATTTATCAGACCGATATTTAAAATAATTTTCTGAAATTGGCCAATAAAGATGTTAGTGCCGATATATCGTGGATCCTGAATCAGTATATATTGCTATGGTAACCAGTGGTGCAGAACGGTGGGTATGCACTACATGCGACATATAGGGGCACCATGCTAGCAAGGGTGCCAGAAATAATGAAAAAAAAATTCAAGTCAGCATTTTCTGTAGTTAGCTGTTATTGATCATATGTATGAATGACGTGATCAATAACAGAGGCCTGTTGCTGATCAACTGCCCGTCCGCTCTTTCACCTCCCATCCTGCCGGGCTCAGTGCAATAAAATAAAAATGAAACAAACTCCACCATCTCAGATTGGAAAATCCTGGTAACATGTCAGAGAGATTGGTGCCAAAAGTTTGAAAATACCTGCAAATATCTGGTTTCTCTGCAAAATCCACAATACATTTAAATTTATTGAAGTTATGTGATGCATTATCATCCTGTCCTAAAAGACCAAATCAGCATCTGATTTGTTCCTGATGTAAGTAACTCCTGACTGTAACTGTGTGGCACAAAACTTAGTTCAGCTTCTTAGTCGCTTGTTTTCTTCTGACCACTACTGCCACCTAGTGGTAGACTGTGGGTGCCCTCTGAGGACCTGTGAGCAGCAGATGATGCCCAGAAAGCAGCAGCATCGCAGCAGGAATCAGTGCAGTGGGATTCAGAGCGCAAAGTGCCAGCCTTGTTTTATACGTTCTGCACCTTTAATAACCTTGACCTTATCACTGACAAGCTGCTGTGGCGAGATTTACTGGGCCTTGTAAACTCTTTGAGGGCTTGCCAGGAGTCGGGTTCACCCAAGCTTCATTTTTGTTTGTTCAGGTTTATTTTTCTCTCCTTGAGGAAAGAAAATAAAATGTGATGCTCTTAAATCTGTTTACCTCAGCAGCTTTAGGTAGATATAAGGGGTGTATTGGTTTCCAAGTAAAGGGGAAAAATGGATTTCTTGATTTTTATTTTATTTTACTTTTTATTTTTTTGCAAGAATCTGCTGAGGTGAACTGGCCTGTAAAAGTTTTAGATTTTGCTGGTTTCATAGTGAAGTATCCTGATTCAGGAGAGCGCCCTTCCCTTCCCATTTCGTTTGTTTGCTGTTCTGTGTGCCGGCTGCTTTCTCTCCTCATGTGTCTTGTGTAATCTCTGTTTTTTTTTCCCATCCTCGGTTGCTGTATGCGTCCTCCTCACCCTGTCTTTGTCTTTCTGTGTAGACGCCGTTTGAAAGTAGCAGAATCAGTTCCAGACGAGCGAACAGTTGCAGAGAATCCGCCTGTTTACATTAGGATTGCGTTGGCTGCGTTTTCCCTCTAAGTGTTTCTGTATGCAGCGGTGGCTGCTTCCAGGCGCTTCGGTTTCCTCTGCACAGCTGAGGCGGTGGAAGCCTCTTAAGGATAGAGGAATCAGCTATCGTCACCCCCCCCTCCCCCAATGCTGCGGGGGTGAAGAGGCAGGAGATCTAATGGCTGCCTAGCTTAGCCTCAGTAGTGTTGCTAAGGCTAACAGGGAAACAGAACCTGCTACTTCAGAACTCCGTCTGCGTTTCCTTAAAACGACCTGAATGCTGTTAGAATTTGGCTCATAGCCCAAATTTCAGGGATTTTAGCAGCAAATAAATTAAGATCATGTATAACAAAATGCTGATTTATGAGCATTCTTGGTTATGATGTGTACTTACCTCCAAGTACATATTTTACTGCAGCAGCATTACCTCCCACTGATTTAGTTTAAAATCCAGCCTTTAATTTAAAAGCATTTATTCATTGAAATGAGAAGTAATTGATGTTAAAATCAAAGATTATTAGTACCCATATAATCTCAAAATCATAATTAGTAAACCATTACAATCTGCTCCCACAGGAGACAAATATGGAACATAAATATGTTCATCTTAGCAGCACAGAGAATAGAAAATATCCCCTTTCAGAGCTCGCTGCTGGAGAACTGCAGAAAGAGCAGCATCTTTTTGTCTCGTTTCCATAACAACCATCAGAAACTAGCCAAATATCAATGAGTTGTTGCCAAAAACGTCTCTTCTGTCCTACCATGACAAACATAAACAGGTTTTCTTAAATCTTCTGTTATTGGAAACTCATGACTTGGGTCACGTCAGATCATGAAAACCCCAGCTGGATGAATGAACGTGTGAAAAACGACTTCATGTTGACTGCTGGTGTGGCAAAGTGAAGTCATGTGGGTTTTTCTGACTCTATAAGTAGTTTTTATTTTTATAGTATTTTTTATTTTTATTTATGAAACTGTGTGAATGTTTTTCTTGTGTTTGTTTTATGGGGCAATGGATGGAAATGAGCATTCCGGTATATTTACTACAAAGTTGAACATACAAAGTCACATTTAAATAAAAATAATCAAACTAAAGGTTGGATTTTTCTAACAAACCAAATGGATGAAATCATTGCAAGGTTGTGCTGCTGCAAATGAAGATGAATGTATTTTCAGGTGTTTTAATCATCTTCATGCGGCTGCTAGTAACTCAGTGCAGATCAACCTCAGACATTTACCTGAAGACATGCTGGGTCTGGGTCTGGGTCTGGGTCTGGGTGTGGGTCTGGGTCTGGGTCTGGGTCTGGGTCTGGGTGTGGGTCTGGGTCTGGGTGTGGGTCTGGGTGTGGGTCTGGGTGTGGGTCTGGGTCTGGGTGTGGGTGTGGGTCTGGGTCTGGGTCTGGGTGTGGGTCTGGGTGTGGGTCTGGGTCTGGGTCTGGGTCTGGGTGTGGGTCTGGGTCTGGGTGTGGGTCTGGGTGTGGGTCTGGGTGTGGGTCTGGGTCTGGGTGTGGGTGTGGGTCTGGGTCTGATGCGCTGTCCATGTCCTCCCAGTGAAAAGGCTCTGCTGGTCAACAAGTTTGAGCTGAGCGTGCGGACCGAGGCCACGCAGGGTCTGCTGCTGTGGAGCGGGAAGGGCGTGGAGCGCTCCGACTACATTGCGCTGGCCATTGTGGATGGCCGGGTCCAGATGACCTATGACCTGGGCTCCAAGGCCGTGGTGCTGAGCTCATCGGTGCGTGTCGACACCAACCGCTGGATACGCATCAAAGCCAGCAGGTAAGAAAAACGGAATCAGCAGCAGAAGCTTTCTTTCTCTCTTTCTTTCTTCCTGGTTCAGTTAAAGGAGGATTAGACTGAATCCGTATGTCTTTGTGTTGCTGCTCACCGTGTGATATCTCGCCTGAATCCCCCGCTTATTTCTGAGTTGATGACTCTGATTAGTTTCAGATTAAGGCTGCTTTCATGCCTGGTCACACCCACGTTTGAAGCTTTACACAACAGACAGGCGAGGTGTGGAAGTTGCAGCTTAGACACGGTGATCAGTGTTCAGACGGAGAACCGCTGCCGCAGCCCAACATGTCTGCCACTCTCTGGAAGCTGCAGAACAAGATTCATGAGAAATAACTGTTGGATGTGAAATAACAGACAGGGATGTGAAAGTGTTGGAACCACAATAACTTTTCTACATTTTGTCCCATAAAACCATCCTAACCTGTTCACGGAGTATAATAGGTCACTTTTAATGCATTTTATTAGGATGTTAAGTAATTGACAAAGAAGTGCATAACTCTGAAATGGAAGGGATATGTTTTTTATAAATAATATGTTAACTGTAGAATGCATTTATTTATATTTTCCATGATAAAACAGTTTGATTTAACTTTGCTGAATCAGCTCCACTTCCAGGATCAGCCTGAATGTATCTCCATCCATCTCTTTAATTCTAATCAGCGTTCCTGTCCTTTCTGAGGAAAACCTTCCCACATCATGACGGGGCCACCGCCATGTTTCACTGTGGACCTGCTGCATTAAGTCCAATGTGCAGCGCCATCTATCCTCTATTTTCAGTTAAAAGTTTAATTTTGGTATCATCTGACCAAAGCAACTTTTTATTATATTTGCTGTTTCTTTTATTGCAGAAATTAAAATAAACTTTTATGGGTTTAAACATTCTTTTTTTTTTTCTTTTTTTTTTTTTTACCATTTTTCTAATGGAAGTCAGATTTGTAAAGTGAAATATAATNCTATGTTGAAATGTATCAGTATACAAATAAGTTTAAGTATAATATAATTGTTTTTTTCACAACAGAGAGGAAAAAATCTCTAAATGTAAGATTTATTTATTTTATAGCAAATCCCAGGTTTATAATGTCTGGGTTTTTTAAACAGGCAGTTAAACTGAAAATACTTGAATTGTAGTACACAGTCCATTCTTTGTTGAAATGTATGAATATACATATGAGATAATTATAATACAAAGGTAAGTAATAATAGTGAGGGGAAAAATGTTACTTATTTTATTTTATAGACAATCCCAGGATGATGAGGTAACTTTTTTTCTAATCTGGTGAGATTTATCTGATAGAGTTCTGTTCCAGATTCTCTTTCCAGGTCCTGGACTCTCTGATCAGACTAATGAGCTAGACCCATACAGATCACTTCTTGTAAACTTCCAACCAATGAAGCATTTTAACTGAAAACACTTGAATTGTAGAACACAGACCATTCTATGTTGAAATGTATCAGTATACAAATAAGTTTAAGTATAATATAATTGTTTTTTTCACAACAGAGGGGAAAAAATCTCTAAATGTAAGATTTATTTATTTTTATAGCAAATCCCAGGTGTATAATCTTTGGGTTTTTTAAACAGGCAGTTAAACTGAAAATACTTGAATTGTAGTACACAGTCCATTCTTTGTTGAAATGTATGAATATACATATGAGATAATTATAATACAAAGGTAAGTAATAATAGTGAGGGGAAAAATGTTACTTATTTTATTTTATAGACAATCCCAGGATGATGAGGTAACTTTTTTTCTAATCTGGTGAGATTTATCTGATAGAGTTCTGTTCCAGATTCTCTTTCCAGGTCCTGGACTCTCTGATCAGACTAATGAGCTAGACCAATACAGTGCAGCAAAGGAAACATCACATCCTGTAAACATCCATCCAAGAAAGCAGTTCAACTGAAAATACTTGAATTGTAGAACACAGACCATTCTATGTTGAAATGTATGAATATACATATGAGATAATTATAATACAAAGGTAAGTAATAATAGTGAGGGGAAAAATGTTACAATGTAAGTCTTAGTTTATTTTATAGACAATCCCAGGATGATGAGGTAACTTTTTT